TGGGCTATAGCTATGTGTCGACCAAATCGGCCTCATTGTTGATCAACGACAACCTGGACCTGTCTGTCCTCATATCGCCCACCGGTGCCTACGAGGCCTTCAAACGCGGCTGCACTACACAGTGTCGTGGAAAGGGTTATTTCATTGCTTAAATATTGACCATGATGATTGTTATTAAATTATTTATTTAATAATTTTTTGCTAAATTTATTTTTGTTAAATTTATTTAATTCTAATTTTTGTGTTTATGTATAAATAAATTTTGTTTTATAACAAATAAACTTTCTACTTTTATCAATCATACTGAATTTATTTATAATAATTTATATTTTATAAATGTTAGTTTTAAATGCTTAAACTGCTTTCTAATTTTATAATTATCATGTTTACTGCAGTATACTTTCAAACTCAAAACTTAATTTATCACCTTGAACAATTATTAATTTGATTTTTTTAAACAAGTATATAAACACATAAATTGAATCATTTATAAGAACATCTATTATATTTTAATGTGTACTTCAATCAAGCATCATCAAAATATGTATTTCATTCTGTTTGCAACGATATTGCTAGCTGGTATTTAATTATGAGATAAAATCAAATCAAAATGTTATAATTTACATCAATTTATTTAACATAGGTTCATCTTATGGCCAAAGTACTCAACCTACATCGATAGGTATAAATGACAATTATTATTTGTTGCAAATAATTACAATTACAATTTTAACATCATTTAGTAGATGAGATAACATTTATCACAATAAATAAGTACCATGCTTGTCAGGGTCCGGATGCAAACAATTACACCATGACTGGTCGCCTCAAATCAGATTCCCAGTGCTTAACTAACGACGGTTTTCACGATCGACAGCTCATTATTAGCCAATCCGATGGCACCCTTACGACAACACATTTAACACTTTTAGCATCGGGTTACTGGCCACAGGGAGGTATTACCTTGTTCAAAAGTTTTATTTTATTGTGTATTTGTTTAATTAATAATTGTTATATTTATTTAATAGCGTATAGACATGTTGACCAATTGTATCTGATTGACCAGGGACCATTGGCTGGCAAATATCTGTATGAGACATACATAGCGCTGCAATTAGCGTATTTGTCGAAATGCTCGTCAGTGTTGGGCTATTCGTATATCGTGTCCAAAAGTACCACAATCTTAATCGGCGATCACATAGGACTAGACGTATTCCTGGCGCCTACCGGTGCTTTTGAAGCGTTTAAGAAAACATGTACCACTGTTTGTAATGGACAAAAGTATTTTGTTTAACTTAATAAATATGTGTTTTGAAAACATTGATTTGAAATTATCTAATTTAAAGGACAAAGTTCAATGTAAATTGGTAAAATGCCAAAAATTTTATATTAAATTTTATTTATTTTTTTTATTTGCGAAATTAATTATCATTGTGAGCATAATTTAAATTGATATAAATGATGTACAGTAATTACGTTAATCAATATAAAAAACGTGCATAAATATTACTAAATTTCTCAATTTTAGCGAAATTAATTATCATTGTGAGCATAATTTAAATTGATATAAATGATGTACAGTAATTACGTTAATCAATATAAAAAACGTGCATAAATATTACTAAATTTCTTAATTTTGATATAACTTTTACCCATGATGTCAGATTTGGGAAATTCCTTCAGATTTCGATTCCTCTCATCCACACCTTTACATTGATATATGATATGATATACTTATTTATAAAATAAATGATTTGATATTCAAATTTTCTCCGATAAGAGTGGTCACTGCGGCTAAACCCGATGTCGTCTGGCCACATAAAATATACCACCGTACTTCCTACATAGTGTACTTTCGATTTATAGCAATAATTCCCGATTGCACTCTGGGCATTATTTGAACATTATTATTTGTAAGTCAAAAAGTAGGATGTCGGGAGCCGGCTAAGCTGGCAATCGGGATTTGACAATATAAAATGAAAGTACATTACATAAGGAGTCCAATGATATAATCTATATGGCCGGCCGACCTCGGGTTCGGCGGTAGTGACCAACGGCCGGATGTCCTGAAAGTCCAACTCCAAGGGGTAGCCGTATATATGAAGATAACGCGACGGGTTATGAAAGCTGTGTTCGGGCAGTGGATCGCAGCCCCGACCGACCACCCAATCGTTAAACGCCCGCCACTTTTCGCTCTTCACGTCTCTAACCAATTGGCGAAACTCGTGCCACAGTTTTGGGTCTCCCGTTGCGGACAGTCCTATAAATTTAATTCGTGATAAGTTTGTAATCTGGGTAATAGGGAAGGGGTTGCGAAACTAAACGTGTGTGAGCTAACAAACCTGACGCAGTGGGCGGTGTCCTCTCATCATCGACCATGTTGAGAGGGTTGACACTCCAACACCACACACACGGTATGGCCGACAACACCACTGATGGCAGTGTCACCAACTGATTCACAATTATAACATCGGGCCGAATGGCGGGCAACAGACCGGCCAACTGTGTGTCCAAATACTGGGCCTGTTTTGTCCAAAACTGTGCCCTTCCGGCCCCGAGTCGGGCCTTCTCTATGGGCGACGCGCCGCCAATTATATCCATAGGGATCATCATTTGAGTCCTATCTTCTGTAGCATTACTAGTGGCCAACTCTACCGTTTTGATGCCACGAGCGGCCAGTTTTGGCCGCCAAACGTCGTCCGCCGTAAACAACACGCGGTGTCCGTCGGCCAGCAATTGTTTGGCAATACCTATACAGGGATTTACGTGACCGTCCAATAAGAGCGGCACGAATAACACTTTAAGTGTCATTTTATTTGACATAGTTAAAAAATATATAATTTTAATTATTATGTCTCCCAAATTAATGTAATTTTATAACTTATTATTTTTGCGAGTGTATAACATTAAATATATTTACTCTTGCCTTTTATTAAATAAGTAGTAAATACGTAAATATTAATCAAAATTTAATGTGTTTTTTATCTTAGGCGCAACAAGTATTACAATGCATATAAATAAGGATGTATTTTGTAATTTTGTTAGAATTAAAAATGATTATGAATTATTAAAACAAAGTCACTTGTTTATCAAATGATATTTTCAATAACAGCATAAAATTTACAATTGAAATAGTAGATTAATTTTTTAAAGACCATCGTGTTTTTTCAATTAATGCTAATTACGGTATTTAATCATCAAACAAAATATGTAAAAAATTATATCCATATTTTTTATTAACACTTAATAATTAGTGTAAAAAATAATTTTAATTTAAATAAATTATAAATTTATAAAAGTAGAAATTTTATTTGTTATAAACAAAATTTATTTATACCTAAAATCAAAAATTATAACTAAAAATTTTAACAAAAATAAATTTAGCAAATAATTATTAAATAAATAATTTAATAACAAACATGATGATTAATATTTAAGCAATGAAATAACCCTTTCCACGACACTGTGTAGTGCAGCCGCGTTTGAAGGCCTCGTAGGCACCGGTGGGCGATATGAGGACAGACAGGTCCAGGTTGTCGTTGATCAACAATGAGGCCGATTTGGTCGACACATAGCTATAGCCCAACACCGATGAGAATCGCTTAAGGTATGGGAGGGCCAGGTATATGATCTTCTCATATAAATATTTGCCCTGAAGGGGACCACCAGTAATCAGCCACAGGGTCTCCGATTGGTGATAAGCTAGCATGGTTAAACAAATAGTTATTATAATTTGTAAAATCACCTCGTGTTAAGTAGATTTAGGTGTAACAGTATGTATTACCTCCAGCTGGATAAATAGATCTAGCCAGTATTTTAAGTGAGTTTACAGCCCGTTGCTGATTGGGTCCGCATTGAACAAGCTGATTGTCAAAATTGGCGGCGGTGTTGTAGTCGCCGGTTAGATCCTCGGTGAATTCACCCCATAGGGTATAGTTGGCCGCATCCTTGCCCTCGCACTCGTCGTACGAGCCGTAGTAAAGCACGTTTACTTGGGGCGCTATTTTGTAGCAAGTTAATTTATATTAGTAAATTTTTAACACAGACTTAAATTAAAACATTTTACACTTTTAATTACTTACTTGGTTCTGGTTGAGCGGCGTACAATGAGCCTGTTGTTTACAAAATAAAATTAGTAATGTTTATATTAATATATACTGATCATATTAGTGATTATATGCCATTATGGCTACTTACCGAAAAATAATGTTGCTATTACTAAACCAAACATGTTGAAAATTTTGTTGTTCTGGCAAATTTTAATTATTATAATTATGTAAAATATTTTTTGAACTGAATTATTTTTATAAAGAATTTTGTTTTTATACTATTTAGCTGAAAGTGTTATCTGTGAAAGATATTATAAACTTATGCATTAAAATATTCCATTGGAAAATATTCTAAAATACCAAATGTTAACCTGGTTTACTTTAAAAATGATTTTAAATATTGTGTAATTATTAAAATTTAATATGTTTAGTGTTAGGGTGAATAACATTAATTTAAGTCGTAATTAAATAATAGCATTATCTTGTTGAATTGACTTAAAATGTTTATTTAGTCCACAATGAGTTAAAATTAAACTACTGTTTATAATATTGAAAGCAATTTATATTTTTACTAAGAATTGTAAAAAATTTTGAATGCATTATTATCAACACGATATAATCAACATTATTGTATATTTTTATCTAGCCAATTCAAATATACTACAACATTTCATACTAGTGTTAATAAACGCCTCCCAAATCCAGTTAGGGTATGTGAGCACCGGAGTTCAGAGTATTACTGATGGTGAATAATGCAGATTTTGTTGACAGATTTTATCAAGCTGAAATGTGCCATGTACCAGTCTCTAGGGCATTTTGGAAAAGGCATTGTCTATTACAATCCAGAGGGCTTTACTACAATCATACTAGGTGCGTAATTAAACATAAATTATTTTAAAATTAAATTAAAAATCTTATAAGATTGAATGCATATATAAACATAATAAATTATACATTTAACTTAATTATAATTACAATAATTTAATTATACATTTAACATAATTAATTTAATTAACATAACATAATTTAATCTAATTATTTAGGAACATTATACGATTAAATAGCCACTGCCGGTACATTGTGTAGTACAATCACGTTTAAACACATCGTAAGCATCAGTGGGTAATATCAACACATCAAGACCAAGATGGTCGCTGATGAGCAGAGTTGTCGTATCAATGCTAACATAGCTATAGCCCATAACCCAACACCGATGAAATGCGTTTAGTGTAGGGCAACACTGCGAATGTCATACTCTGGTATAAGTATTTACCCCGCAGTGGGCCCGAAATAATAAGCCAAATTGCACCGGTTTGATGCTTGGCTAATATTATGAGGGTAATTAATAAATGAATTATTAATTTGGTGCTTTCACTTACGCTCAGCGGGAAAAACATTGACGGCGAGCACTCGCAACCCATTTACCGCCAACTGTCCGTCGGGCGCGAACTGCACCAATTGGTTGTCCAAATTGCCCAAGGTATGATAATCGGTATACATGTTTTCCGTACATTCCCACCATAATGTATAATTGTTTGCGCCGTTACCTTGGCAATTTGAATAATGTGCCGCGGCCAATATGTTCACTCTTGGCGCTATAATTAAATTGTCTCACTTGTCAATGTGCAATTTAATGTGACATTATTCATTTTGTTATTATTTCTATACATTATCTATTAAACTAATAATTAGATAATACAGAATAACTTACATTGATTAGTGAAAGCGTAACCCGAACTGAAAAAACATATAATAAATACAATGGCAATCATTTTGCTAAACAAATTTAACAAGTTTTACGATTACCAAGTTATTATCGAGTACTATGAAATGAATGAAAAGATGGTTCATTTTTTATATTGCAGACGTACTAGTAGTTAATTTAAATCCTGAATATCATAAATAAAGTTAAATTAGCCCAAGTGTTTTTATGGTACATGTATTATGCATTTGTATGTATTAATATTTATTACGTTTATTAAGATAGTTCTTTTAAATAGTTGTTTGTAAGTATTAAAAATAATGTTGAAACTTTTGCGTTATGGTCTTCTAAAACTATATATTTTATTGTATTATGTCATTTACAAAAGATTAATAATTATATTAATTATTAATATTATTAAAATAACAAGAATGACAGTTATTACTTAATTATAATTAAAGAAATGTTTTTTAAAAATATTCTTAAATTCTGTATTAATATTAATACTTTAAATCTTAAACACATTAGGATTTTAACAAGCATAATTTTAAGCTACAAAATAACCATTACCAGTACACTGTGTATTACAACCATGTTTAAATGCATTGTAGGCACCGGTAGGCGATATTAACACATCAAGACCAAGATGATCGCTGATGAGTAGGTTTGCCGTATTCAAGTTTACATAGCTATAGCCCAACACCGATGAAATGCGCTTAATATATGGCAGCTCTGTGTATGTCATGGACTGGTATAGGTATTTGCCCTGAAGTGGACCCGATGTAATCAACCATAGTTGATCTGTTCGGTGTGTGGCTAACACGATAATTTACAATTACCAAACTAAACAAACAAGGTCTTTTTATAAAACTTACTGATCACTTACGGTCAGCGGGAAATACATTGCTGGCAAGGGTTTGTAGTCCGTTCACAGCCAGCTCACCATTGGGTCCGCGTTGGACCAATTGGTTGTCCGAATTGCCCAAGGTATGATAATCAGCCATGGTATTTTCGGTAAACTCCCACCATAGTGTATAATTGTTAGCGTCTTTACCTTGGCAGTCTGAATAGTGTGCCGCGTATAAAAAGTTTACTGTTGGCGCTATTGATTACATTGTAATAATAAAATAATCTTAATGTTTTATTTGTGCATATAATGCATAATATGGTCAATGGCTTACATATAGTAACAAACGCATGACCAGTAATTAAACAGCATATAATAAATACAGTGGCAATTATTTTAAAACAAAAGTTTTATAGTTGTTACCAAGTTGTTACTAATATCCAATTCGGTGATGGTTTATTTTTATATTATTTTTAATTATTTTTTATATTATATAAAGGCAATTAAAATTAATATGAAATCTTGCAAGTAATGTTAGCTAACACATGTGTTTTAAAATAAAGATACCACTTATATATTGTATGATACAATTAAGGATATTACTCTTTAATATTCAAATCAATTTTTTATAAAACAATTAATTTTATTAAGTCAATTTTATTTAAAATTTATTAATATTAATAATATTGACATTTTATTATTAATTACAAAATAATATAATGATCTATCATTTAAAGTATTTTTTATGGAAATATAAAAAGGTGTATAAATTATTGGCTCAAAATTAATTGAGGACATATTTTGAATAAAACTTTCCATATTATATAAGTTAAATATAAAAGTTATTATACTAAAAATCAAAATATTTTGAATACTAAATGGCCTTGCTTATTCTAATAGATATAAACATGTTTATAACGGATCATAAATGTATTATCCATCGAGATCATTTGCCAATGACCAGAAATGGCCAAAATATAAACATTGCATTTAATTAAATTCAAATAACGTTGATAGTATTAAAAAGTTGTGATTAATGGTGACTCACACAGAGTCATTCACCACAAGTTCATGTATTGGTGCTATTTATTTATTTGGGCATTTTTGGCCATTCGCATATTATCTCGATGGAAAATATAACTATGAACCGTAATGAACACGCCCATATTAATTAGGATAAGCCAATTTGTTACTTGAAATTTTTTATTTTAGT